TAAATTCCAATATAATTATAATAATAATAATGAAGGGGGGTGATTCATCGGACAAAAAATAAAAGGCCTGTAAAGTTTTTGCCAACGTTTCGCCAAAAAGTTTAGGGTTTCATCTTTGATCAGTCCTAAAATATATATTAGGAACATCAAAAAAGTGCTTACAAAAAAATGAAGTTAACATACCTTGTACTTAAAAAATTATTTGGACAGAATTATATAAAATATTGCGCTTATTAATCATAAAAACACATTTATACAAGAAATTAATAGGCTCACTTACAAGCTGAAAAGTGACATTTTTAACTTAGAAATAAAAATTGCTCACCGCACCTCAGCTGAATTGAGATCACAGATAGGGATAGGGGTTCAGCCTGAGGGCCGATCCTCGAGCCAGGGAGTGGAACTTCCCGAGAGAAGAAAATTTTCGTCTTTATCATTCTTGTTTACTTCGATTACGTTGACAAGGACAAAACATGCGTTCTATCAGGGAGCTCTACTCCCTGGCCCGAGGATCGGCCACCTGGTTAGAGGATTTTCAGGTGATCAGGATTATCAAGAATTTCTAAGAACTATCGAAAAGAAATACGAACGTATATTTTCTAGCACAAAATTCACACATTGTAACAAGTTACTTAACTTGATTTCACAACAGAAGAAAACCCTAATAAGTCCGGAAAACTGGTTGATTAACCTTAGAACAATACCACCTCCTAGTAAGGAATTACTAGCCTTGGGACCATCATTTGCTTTGCTCTATAGCTCCAATGTTCCAACTCATCAAGGATACCGAATATTGCATCCAGAACCTACGAGAAGACACAGATAAGGACTGTATTAGAGCATACCAACGCAATAAAGACTATTATCAAAGCAAGAAATTCCTTAAATATAATCCTAACTTGATAGTGACTCGTGGGAATAAGGGTAATTGCACTGTTGTGTTAGAAAGACAAGACTATGAGTGTAAAATGAAACTATTGTTGGATGATGATGGCACATATCTGGAATGACCTAACAATCCCACAAACCTTTTCGAAAATAAGTCAAATAAATTATTCAAAAAGTTAGTATCATGTAATGAACTCGACAAAGATTCAGTAAGAAATTTCATAAGCCATAATTCTATTCCACCAAAAATCTATGGACTACCCAAGATCCACAAGCCAAACACACCCTTAGACCCCTAAGACCTGTTGTCTTGTGTGTAATGTCACCCACCTACAACATCTCCAGTTTCGTAGCCAAAATTTTGAATAACTTGGTTCCAACGTTTCAATATGTAGTGAGTTATGCACCACCAACTTCAAATTTGTGGAAAAACTTAGAGCTAATACAATTCTAGCTGGATACATTCTTCTTTCTCTTGATGTCACCTCATTGTTCACAATTATTCCCAAAGATTTAGTAGGTACTTGCTCTGATATTGGGAAAATATTGAGGCATTCACTGCTATGGAACTTGCAGTTTTTGTTGAATTGATCGCCTTCATCTTCGAGTCACGTTATTTCTGATAACAACAAATTATTCAAATAGATATTCGGTACGGCAATGGGTAACCCGGCTTCACCTATTTTGGCTAACATCGTGCTGAACGAACTCCTCAACTGTCATCCCCAAATTACCCTTTCAACTTCCCTTCTTGTATTTATATGTAGATGATATTATCACAGCCATACCCGACCGTAGTAAGGACATAATCTTAAATGTATTAAATGAATTCCATCAGAATCTCCAATTTATCCTTGAAAAAGAGAAAGGCTACCCTTCCTTGATGTAGTTGTCATCAGGGATCAGGAAGAATTATTAATTTTAATTCATCACATAACATCACACATAAGGTGACTATTATTAAATCACTTAAACATAGAGCAACACAACTGTCTGACCCTCAGTAAATGAATGCAAATTTTGAACGAATAAGGGTAAACAAAATCATTATTCTCTATCTTTAGTGAATACTATTTTGTGTATTAATGCTAATAGTGTTCTATCTCCTAATCAGGTTCAATCTTCTAATGTTAAGTTTTGCAAAATTCTATCGATTCCGGGCTTAAGCTAACACAACACAAGATAACATTAGGGTAGTTCCTTATGCAAACAATAAAGTAGGTGACTTATTTACTAAAACCAAAGACAAAACTGATATCTGTGAGAGTTCTAACTTATATCAACACCAATATGATTGTCGAATTATTAACATTGATAAATAAGAAAAAACGACATTGGCGACTCTTGATTTTGAGAGTGACCATCATTTTGATTTCAACAATCCGTCAGTGTGTATAAAAGAGGAAAACTGGAAAAAGCGGAAAATTTTTGAAATGTTGTTTATAAATACAGTGTGTCCACTTAAGTTCGCAGCATATGGGAAACTTTTTCATTATCAATTTTACGAAAAAAAGTTATTCTTTATAAAAGTTTCTGCTTCTTGAAAAAATTATATTAAACTACTAGAACTTGAAATAACATGTACAGGGTGGCCAAAATATAGAAAAATATACGGGGTGTTTCCTGAGTACGGTTCGTAACTTCAGGATGTGGTTCCTTACAATATTTAAGGAGAAAAATCTCCCATAAACATGTGTCCGGAAATGCGTAGTTTCTGAGATACAGGGTGTCAGTCAAAGTTTTAGAAAAAATCGTTTTTAGCTCAAAAAACCTTTTTCCAATTTTATCTTCAAATTTGGCAGGTTTGTTAAAAATAACGAAAGGTATCTTTCAACTGTTATATGAGATGCTTTATCTGAACAAAATATCAAAGGTTTTGAAAAATAGTGACGTGCCATTTTTTTTTCTACTTTTACCAAAAACCCTGTATATTTTTCTATTTTCTGACCACCTTGTACATGCTATTTCAAGTTTTGATAGTTTAATACTATTTTTTCAAGAAGCAGAAACTTTTATAAAGAATAACTTTTTTTCTAAAATTGATAATAAAAAAGTTTCCCATATGCTTCAAACTTAAGTGGACGTGGACACACTGTATAAGTCAGGCAGTTAACTATAAAACTGATACCAATAATTTAAGCGCCATCCATTGTAATTTGATAAATTTATAATTTGTTGCTATCTTTATCTTTATACTTAGTTAATAGTTAAATTATAGCTAATAATAACAATTTTTTAAATCTTCTCGTTAGGTGTTACTGTGTTGACTGATAATAATTAATTTGCCATTGTTTTGCTTTTATCTCTGTAATCACTTTGTCCTAATTTTCGTAATTTTTATATTTTTGTGTTTTTTTGTCTTTCTAACACTTTTATCAATGTATTGTGATTTTGTTATGTGCAATCGAATGTTCCATCCTGAAAATCTCAGACTGTTTTTATATAATTCTGGCCACATAATTTTTTAACTACAAGGTATGTAAAATTCATTTTTTTGTTAGCACTTTTTTGATGTTCCTAATATATATTTTAGGCCTGATGAAGCCCTAAACTTTTGGGCGAAACGTTAGCAAAGACTTACCAGGCCTTCTATTTTTCGTTCTAACCCACGAATCAGCCCCTTCATTGGATACCGATAGAACACGAACTTTTCTTATTAATAATAATAATAAAATAATAATTAAACAATTTGAAATTAGAGCTGATCATGAGCCGCTGATGGAATTGATAGAACTTTGAAAAAAAATAATAATAATAACGAATTAACTGTAAGATTACAACATTTTAGAAAGAAACTTTCTATTTACGATTATTTTGTTACTTTGTGTCTCTGGCAAAGAATTCACTGGACCTGATGGTCTCAGCAAAGCTGCATTATTACCTATTGGAACCGATCTTGATATATTGTGAAAATTTTGTAAGACTATTGCAAGTTTGATAATTACAGTAGAATATCAGGATTTAGAACAAGTATGTACGTACAACAGGAAGATGTGATACTAATCAAGTTAAAAGAGTATTTTGTTTAAATGCTCGCCTGAACATAAAAACTCATAGTGATAAAGGACTCTAGTTCCTTTTTTGGTTAGGTATAACTTCTCAAATTAAAGATCTTCTGTTGAAAATTGTTGAATTATGAGACATGTATAGAAGATAAATCTCCTGTCACTAAACCGATTTTAAAGATGGAAATCCCTAATCTCTCTTGGTGGATTGTTGGATCAGATTTATTCCAATTTGAAAACAAAATAAATAAATGAAAGGATGTACAAATATAGCACTGAGTTGTGGCGAGAGTCCAAGTTAAGTTTTGACAAGTGAAAATTTACAAGAATAAATAGAAATTGCAAAATTATATTTGAAATGAAATTTGCCAGATATGGAAATATTTAACGATAATGAAAAACAAGAGAAAAGGTAGTACTTTTGATGAAACTACTTTTTTCACAAAAGACATTAGTAAGCGAAGTGTTGAACAAGACGAGAAGGGGCAGAGATTGTAAATTTCAGATTGTCAATAAGAAGAAGCATGTTCAAGAAGAAGTAGCTCCTCAATCATATAAAGGTTGTAGCGAAGAATAGACAAATGGGATATAGAAGAAATAGAAGATATTTAAAACTTTTACCTTACTTGTAAAATAATATTTATGCATTCTTTTCTGTTATTCAGTTGTTTGTAAAGAAAGCGGATGTACTGATCTTATATAGGTACCTAGTAGATAAGGTAACTTGAGAGAAAATGTGAGAAGTTATAAAAGTTTAGTTTCTAATATATATCTAATTATTACTATGTACCTATTATATTGGTCTTCTTACACTCGTATCGTCCACATGATCAGTCATCAATTCGTATATGTTCAAAGAAGGCCTGATGTTCATATGTCATCATTATCATCAATTTCTTTCTGGAAGATAATTAACGAAAACTGTCTCCTACAAAGATCTGTCTAATCTTTAGAAACTGGTATGCATGAATCAGGATTCTGAAGTCGATCTTATGTACCTACCTATAGTTTGTTTTGACGAAAAATAATTCACTTTTCTATACCTAGACGTAGGTACCAATAGGCTTCTAAAATTTAACTTTTTGTCTAAATTAAAAATATGTATACCGTGTTAAAAGAAGATCTGTTTATTTGTCGTCATCAACCCTTTCCTCAAGATATTCCACCACTCGAAGCACTTTACATGGCGAAACATCAAAAAAAAAAAGTTCAAAATTGTCACCTATATATGCACCGTTTCGTTCGCAAATATAAAATCGCTGGGGTGTCAAAGCCACCTCTGTACTAATTACTTCATAGAGCCGAAAACCACTTGGCAGGTGGGAAAACGTAAACAAAAAAAAAAAAAAAAACGCGAAAAAAGGGTCTCAATCACACCACCACAAGTAGTCCTCCGGTAAACCCCGTGCGTAGTTGCATGTCGCGCATGTCAGTCGAGCGTCGTGTATTTTTTCAAATAATGGGTTTTCAAACGCGTACACATGACAACCATGCGAAAGATCGCGTACTTGTGAGCCGATCGCGACCGGGGCGCGCGCGACCGTTTCGGGGGGCTCCGCCTTTTCGGGGCCGGGTAGGGGCTCCGATGGGGGGAGCTTATATCGGCGACTATGGGGGAAACGTCGTCTGAGTCTGGTGGGGAATACGGACGGGGTCTGCGGCAGTCGCGAGATGCTGGACTGGAAGTGAAGTTTGCAGTGTACACAATATTCCGTTACATTTTTCTTGCATCTGGTCCTACTTGGAAATTTGACTCACACATCCTCGTCTAATAATCACATGACATGTCAATTTCCGGATATCTTGAAGTCTATCTTACAATATTTTGTAAATTACCGCAATACCAACTGATTTGGCTTGACTGACTATTGGAAATTTGACTCACTGACGTCCAAATGCCTCGTAAGGGCTTAATCCAGATTACTTTCTACTTTCTAAACCCAGATTAAGACTTCTTTTTTATAATATGCTAATTTTCGAACTAAGCGAGATTAAATTCCCAAATCCATGGTGCATACGAGTTTCAGTCACTCAACCTCGTCTATAATAATCACGTGATATGTCAATTTCCGGACATCTTGATATAATTGAAGTAGATTTTAAAATATTTTGTAAACTAGCGCAATATCAAATTATATAACAAAGAAAAATAACAAAGTAGACGAGAGTTGTAAACTGCTCATATCAGAAAAAGTTTAAAGGAAAGCGAATCTGTGTTTTTTCCTATATTTTTTTCTACATGCCCCCCCCCCCCCCCAGACAAAATTTCTGGCTGCGCTACTGCTTGTCACTATATTCACGTTGATAGGTACGGCACTTCCGTCAGTCATATGTAATACTACTCTTTTATCAACTTGTCTTCTTATGCAGGTCAGTCATTGTCATGCTGCTTCTGCTTTTTCTCTATGTAGGTATATCTAATAATAATATCGTCTGATGTGTGTCTGTGATTATTATGAAGAATTAATAGTCTGATGTTTTATCAAGGAATGGTATTTTGTCCTGATTAGTCAGTATTGTCTTGTCTGTATTAGGTATTGATAAAGAGTGAGACTATAAAAATCGCCTTATTTATAACCTGATTTTAGTTAGGTATACCTACAAGGTGGCGAACGGCGCAGAGGATGCGCATATTATGTTTTCTGAATTTCACAATTTTCAAGTGCGGTTGGAGAGGTGCGATTGCAAAGCCAGGACGACACTTGACTGACACTATTAATTTAAAAGTAGGTTTCTACATTGGTAGACAGCGTGTTGAACGAACAAGGTGCAAATAACGGATGAGGGATTTCATCAATTCATCATAGGGAACTTGCATGTGAACTAAAATTCTCCAAATTTGTTTTGAATCGATAGTTTATACTGCACAATATTTATAGGACCAATTTTTATTTAACTGATACCCCCTTGTTACACAAAAAATAATAATAAATTTGAAATAAAAAATTTCCCGCCAAAACAATGCTTCCATAATGGCTTCCTTTTTCACGTCACGATTCTGTGAACAAACCTGTCAATAGGGAACTTGCATTAAAAAAATAATAATAATACAAAAGCAGTCCTTCACAATATTCTTATCCACTGCGACAATTTTCACAAAAAGCAAACTTTAACACAATTGAATAACACAAAAATAGCACTGCTTCAGCAGGAGTTCGTTTGCTCCGGTTTGCTCCGTTTGTTGCTTACAAATTCTTGACGTCAAGAGCGCTGTCATATTGAGATATTGTGTTTTCGCGCCGAATTTTTTTTTCGTACAACGTATAAATTAAAATGGAAAAAAAAATGTAATAACTGATTACTAGAAGCATCTAAAAAAAAAATAATTTGAGAAATATGAAAATTCCCTATTTTCACTCTTCAGAGCTTAGACCAGCAAAGCATCTAAGATCTGCGTCAGATCCATTGTGAACGATTCCTTTTGGTCGGGTATGTATCTATCTACGTAATCTACGTCATACACTGGCGACATTCCACTACGTTTAAATATGTAGTATGAAAACACAATTTTTAAAAATTATTTATTGAAAAAATTGGACAGTTTAATGCGAACTTTGAACTGGTCTGGAAGCAAGGTTATTTTTATTATGTTCATACGACTGATTAAAAATAATAAAGTAATGTAGTTCTCCAGTGATAAACTTGATGTCCTTTAACAGGAATATTGTTTTATTTATTTATGACTAGCTCACAGGTTATGGTCCCAGTCTCGTTGTGTGCTGAAGCTCCCTCTCCAAGAAAAATTGAACTTCGTTGACCAGTCAGAAACAACTACTCCGAGGGCAAATACCCCTACCGGCGTTGAACTACACTGATTGGTCTGGGCTTTCGTTGGCAATGAAAATTGTTAGAAATAGTTTTTCAGGTAAAGACCAACGTGAATACAGAGACACAACGGTCTCTGTTTGGGAATCGGCCCACTGCCCAAACAGAGACCGTTGTGTCCCTGTATTCACGTTGGTCAAATACCTGAAAAAATCTTTCTAACAATTTTCATTGCCAACGAAAGCCCAGACCAATCAGTGTAGTTCAACGCTGGTAGAGGTATTTGCCCTCGGAGTAGTTGTTTCTGACTGTTCAACGAAGTTCAATTTTGCTTGGACAGGGAGCTTCAGCCTATGTCCTTCTAATGAGTCCTAACAAGGACGAAACGCGACAAGGATTGGCACGGGAAGTCTGGGTCCACTGCTCAATGGGCTGATTCCCAAACAGAGACCGTTGTGTACTTGTATTCACGTTGGTCATTACCTGAAAAAATCTTTCTAACACTTTTCATTGCCAACGAAAGCCCAGACCAATCAGTGTAGTTCAACGCCGGTGGGGGTATTTGCCCTCGGAGTAGTTGTTTCTGACTGGTCAACGAAGTTCAATTTTGCTTGGACAGGAAGCTTCAGCCTATGTCCTTCTGATGAGTCCTAATAAGGACGAAACGCGTCAAGGATTGGCACGGGAACACTGGGTCCACTGCTCAGTGGGCCGATGCCCAAACAGAGACCGTTGTGTCCCTGTATTCACGTTGGTCATTAGCTGAAAAAATCTTTCTAACAATTTTCATTGCCAACGAAAGCCCAGGCCAATCAGTGTAGTTCAACGCCGGTAGGGGTATTTGCCCTCGGAGTAGTTGTTTCTGACTGGTCAACGAAGTTCAATTTTGCTTGGACAGGGAGCTTCAGCCTATGTCCTTCTGATGAGTCCTAACAAGGACGAAACGCGTCAAGGATTGGCATGGGAAGTCTGGGTCCACTGCTCAGTGGGCCGATTCCCAAACAGAGACCGTTGTGTCCCTGTATTCACGTTGGTCATTAACTGAAAAAAAAATTCTATCACCCTGTATATTGTTAGGACCCTTATGACATGAGTAATAATGAGTAACCTATACTCAAGTTTGCAACCCCGAGATTAACCTTGTGCTACTCCCGTCATGCTCGAAAAACATGGAAATTCTAGCACTTGTTTTAGTTCTCCGAGAAAACTACCTGGAGGAAGTGTTTTTTGGGTATCTGGTATCTATACCTATTATAGGGTACTACATTATAATATATATTTTTGTACATTACACTTAACACAGTTTTCTCACGAAAAAATTGAGACATACCTAAATAATGAAAACAATGTACTGAATAATGCCGATATGTACCTATTTCTTCAAACAAAAACATACAAGAAGGAGATTTTAACACTTTATGTACATATAGCTAAAATGAACGTACACATAAAATAAACAACGTAAACATAAATATGATAGTATTTTTTCGACGCATTCGCCAGCCTGTCGAGAATCCTAAAAATTAATTCCTATAATCTAATAATCTAGTAAGTTCTACTTTAATTAGTAAAATGAGATTATGGCGTTTGTTCTAGATTATACATGAATAGATTTAGGGATATATAAGGCCGGTGTTACCGGGTTGTTTTAAGTTTAAGTTTGACTGTGATACGATTTGAATAGTGATTATTGTTGCGAGTTGTAAAGAGTTTAGTTGTTGAGTTAGTAATTAGTGTCAAAGTGTATAGTTACGTGGAATAAATTATTGCTGTGTTTATTGGACTTTGATTTTGGAATAAAGAAAACGAACCCAAGATTTCTGTCAGGCAACCCAGAGTCGTGACAATAATTGATGTCAGAAGTAAGACATAAAGGACTGCAGAGTGAAATCCAATTGCAGAATAGTGTAGTGTGAACACTAGTGTAGTGTGAACACTGAACACTAAGTGAACACTGGGACAGTTAGTCAGTGCAAACAGTGACAATCACAAAAAGAGACTCAACCGATCGTGTGAATCACTCCGGAAGTGACTCTATACCCGATTTTGACTGTGATAGTGAATCTTCGAGTGAGTTCTAGAAAATTCTATTTGGAAACCAAGGGAGATATCGAATTTCTGACTTCACCGACGTATTCGGAACATCAATCGTTATTCAGAAAAAGTTTTTCGAGGAGTTTCGGGAAAATTCTAGAACATTCTATTTGGAAACTAAAGGAGATATCGAATTTGTGACTTCACCGACGTGTTTGTTATATCAATCGACATCCAGAAAAGACATTTCAAGAAAATTCTAGAACATTAGGTATATTCGAGAATAAAGCAAGTTATCCAATTTGTGACTTCGCCGACGTGTTTTGAACTTCAACAAAAGACCAGGGAAGATATTTGAAGAGAGTTTGAGGGAAATTCCAGAACATTCTGTATACGCCTATACAAGACAAGCAAAAATGGATGAACAAAAAGATGAAGAACTTCTACGCAAAATGTTCGCACTTCGAGAGACCAAACGACAACAAGAAAAACAAGACGAAGAAGCTAGACGACAACAAGAAGGGCTAGAGGACAACAAGAAAAACAAGACGAAGAACTCAGGCGACAAAAAGAAAAACAAGAAGAAGCTAGACGACAATAAGAAGAGGCTAAACGACTACAAGAATAACAAGGCGAAGAGGCCAGGCGACAAAAAGAACGGCAAGAAGACCTTGGACAACTAAAAAAAATATTTCAAACCATACACGGATCTGCCGCTATCCTAGAACAAAAGATT